TATCTTCCATTGACGTCGCGAGAGCACACCAATGTTTTTCTCCGCGTACCTGGAGTTTCACCATTCAAGATGGCGATGCGAGCATCACACCCGCTTTGGGAGCAACTCAGTTTTCTCCTGGAGATGATTCGTCGAACCCGGAATCGGCGCGGGCCCGCACTCGCATCTTCCAACCCGGATCAATGCAGATCGGCAGCGCGCGAGGCAGCTATTTTTAACGAGAGAGTTCGCAGGTATTCATAGAATAACGATTGCTCGGTCGAAGTTTGCCCCCCCCCCCCCCCCCCCCCCCCCCCCGGGCTGGGAGTCGCGTGGCACGAATCTTGTCGCAGTCGGCACGCTCCGCCAGGAGTCTGTTTATGAGCATGAATATAAACATGACTCTGCTCAGGTGAATATAGTCTCTTATTAACATTAGCGTCGCTAAAAAAAAAAAAAAAAAAAAAAAAAAAGAATCTTCTAACACATTTTACTCGTAGCTCCAACTTCCTGCTAACATTATTAAGCACTCATTTGTTCCAATTTTAATATAATAGATTGTAGCGCACGTGAGCTTCGTGAATACTTTCTTTTAAAATAATTTTCACCTTACTTTTGTGTATTTGCTCCGAATCCTTTAGGGTCGAATGCATAATTCAGCATATTTCGGATATTGTATACAGGGTATTCCACGTAACTTGAGCCAAGGTTCAAAAATATCTAGGTCAATTTTAGGAAGACGAAACAAAACAAATAAGTTTGTTCATTGTTTGGAGCAAAGCCAGGCTATTTCTTTTTGTATTTTGCTTATTTAACGAATTAATTAGAATTAACTTTTGAAATATTCAATATCAATATTGAAGTCGTAGAGCGTCCTCATAAAAAAACCTTAGCACTTTTTTTTTTTTATGGCTTTGAAAAAAGTTTGTGAATTATGAAAACAACGTGCAACCTGCGCATGTGCGCCTTGTATTGCAGCGCTCTCAGCCGTGGCTTGAATAAACTAGGCCTGCATGCTCTCAGCGTGCTGTCAACAAATAGACTTTTTTTTTTTTTTTTTTTAGGCCGGAAGAAACGAACTGTTTTAGAGGTTTCTTGATAAAATCCACTGAATTTGATGTTTCTGAGGACGCTCTACAACTTTGTCATTGGAACTTTTGCTAAAAACTGAATATTTAAAAAGTTCATTAATTAATCTTAGTTAATTAGTTAAAACACAAAAAGAAATAGCCTGACTTGCTCCAAACAACGAGCAAACTTATTCGTTTGACTTCGTCTTTCTAAAATGCACCAAAATATTTTTAAACCTTGGCTCAAGTTACGTGGAATACCTTGTATATATGAGAGTACAATGCCCAATCAACGTTGTGTTTCCACTTTACTCTACTTTGCTATTTTGTTTTTAATTTTTTCCCCCTCAGGGAACTAACTGCTTTGCTTTGTTTTTGTAAAACATTCCAGTATACCCATGCCAATTCTGTTCACCTGTTAGGGGGCTGAGAACCAGTGAAGCTGCTTAGACAGTTTTTTCCCCCAGCTCCTAGCACATATATTTTTGCATGTGGTCAGGAGGCTGTGATATGGTGAATAAAGATATTATTATATTATTATACTTTTGCTCCTTCGTGAGTGTGCCCACACATGAGAGTGTTTCCAACTGCCGGTTGCGTTTGCAACGATCGTCCGCAAGCATCTCCGGGCTTTGCCTCACCTCTCCGCCCGCTATCCTCCTCGACTCGCGGGGGCGCACGCATGCGCGTAAGCAACCAATCTGCGCGGCAGGCGTCCTTTCCATGGTTTGAGTTGCTCTCTCTCTTAAATCTGGGGACTCCACCCCTTAATAATAAATGTAGCACACCTTGGCAATAATCTTTCACTGTTTGATTTTAGCTTTGTTACCTGCAATGACTCACTGCAGTAATCACGACGGTAACTCTTCACGGTAAACGAACGTTAGGCATACGAATATAGGAAGGCTCTTACCGATCAAACCTATTAATTGATTATGATTACTTCTCACCGGTCTGCCTAGAAACGCTTGTTTTGTTTTTGGCGTGTCAGCACGGAAGACAAACACGACGCACAGGGCGGCAAATGGGAAACACCTGTATGTGCCCGTTGAAAAAACCGCACATTAATTTTTTTTTAATACGTGCGTTTTGCATAATAACTTCAAGTAAGACAGCAGAGAAGCAAAAATGGACGGAGATCGCTTTCTCCTAACTCCTGTCGATAAAACACGCTCGTATCTCGGGGAGAAAAGGGGATTATAATAGGCGTTCCCCAGGCGAATTGCAGGAATCGTCGTGGCTAGGGAGCAATCGGGACCTCTTCCCTAGGCGGAGGGGATATTCTTTCCCTGCCGTTAGGGACAAACCGAGCTTTGCTAGGGAAGCGGAAGGGGAAGCTGGCGCCCCTTGCGTCGCGCGGCTGAACTCGCGGGGTCATTGTCCTCCTGGGGTTGCGTCCGCGTTGCGATGGCAAAAGGAACCCCAATGGGGAAGCGGCGATTAAGCACTGGTGGATGGACCCTTCGGAACCCCATTGTTTTGACTCCCATTGATCCCGACTCATCCCCTTTCCCAGCTGGTTGAACGAATCGTTGGAGCGAGTCGCGGCGGCGTCGGCCTTGCCTGCCCCTAACACGCCACATAAATGGGAAGCCCGTCGGCCGGCGGCGCGGAAAAGAGATCGATGGAATAATCCGGACAGGGTTTCGGTTATTTTCTAGTATTTTTTTATCATATACTGTCGTTTGCGTTGGCTAGAGGAGGGAGATAAAACCGCTGGAATCAGCGAACATGCTTATCATAATGAACGTTGCAGTTGGCTGTGCCATGTTTTCTTTTGTAATAACACTTGGTGATTTGGGGGGGGGGGGGGGGGGGGGAGGAAGAAGAAGGAAGGGAAGGGATTATGAGAGAAAATGTTTAGCTGAAATCGTTTTTGTTTTCTTTTTCCGCTCAATTCTACGTTGTAGTTACTCGTGAAAGCCGTCTGATTTCAGGCCCCCCCCCCCCCCCCCCCCCCCCCTCCTCCTTGCGCACCTCTATTTATTTTTCTTGGTTTTGCATTTTGCAAACTTCGAAGTCGCCAACCTGGCGTAACGGCGCTGCGGATCTTAGACGTTATGTTTGTGTTAGTTTGGAAACAACGACGATGTAAGTGTGTGTATACGTAAACGCTTTTCTTTCATCTGTATTATTTATTTTGTTGTGAGATGCAGCCGTTAGACTCACGGACAACTTTCCCTGGCACTTCAAAGGAAGTGAAGAAGTGCGCATGCACATCCTTGATGGGGACTCAAGTTGTGCGAGCGCACGCGCACCTATAGCTTTGACTGCGTAGCCATAGAAAGTTGTCAGCGCGTATAGTTTAGGTGTTCAAAGGATCGGTGACCAAGTGTGGTAACGCAGAGCGAATGCTCCCGCTAAGATCTGCACAGTTGTTATTTCTGCGTCGTTTGCACCAAAATGCTTACCCTGCTACATCCTGCTGTACTTCACCAAGATGTGCAGAATTGTCGCTGCTCCAAATTGATCTCTTTTTTTTTTCCGCTTTAAAAGCTGTTTTAACTTCACTTAGCGCAATCACATCACTGAAACCGGGCGCAATCACATCACTAAACCAAAGGATCCTGGGTTCAGTCCCACCCCTTCCCTTTTCGATCCGGGTGAGCATATCGCACCGGCTTGCGGTGGTTGGTGTATCACCACTGCGTAATGCACTTTAGAGACACAAGGCTAGCAGTCGTACTGCACTGGCTAAATTCCTCGTGTACTGCGGAAACACCAGACACCCTGTAGAGTCAACTAATTTCCCAACGGTTCTGAGCTTCCGGCGCTCTTTCGATTGACAATCAACAAATGGAAAGGTCGACGTGAAGGAAAGCGGCTCTCCGGCAACGGTAGCCGAGAGCATCAGTGGCGCCCACATTTTTCTGGAACGTGCCTTTGAAACCCTCATTGGTTCTTGTTCTGGCTTCTGTCTCGGTGTGTTCGCTTTTGGCCGGTTGCGGGTTACATCTTAGCTACATTACGGAATCGAGGAGGGACCATGAACATTGGGCGTCCGCGTCAATATTGGTGTTGGGTGCTTGAGCACCTTGCTTGGTTCGCCAATGGCAATTCGCCGTTAGCGAGGTTCGATTTATTTTGTTTTCTGGTAAACACGTGGCAAGCTCCCGTGCCCAATGTGAAAATAGTAAAATAAACTATGTATTTTCTCTGGCTGCTGCCAGATGGATGTGAAGCGATCACATTTGGGTTCCTGCGGCTACACTACTTCGGACGTCCGTCGAGTGTGCCTCAGCGGGGTTCTGTTTTCGCAGTAAGGTTTCCTAAATTCATTTGGCGTATAGTGAATCACCACTTCAGGCTTTCTAGTTAAATTTAGGGGGGAAATACAGTAAAACCTCGTTATAACAGAGTTGAAGGAGCGGTCATAATTATTTCGTTATAACCATTAGTTTGTTATAGCCAATGTCCATTTCTTCCCACTATTAGCAAGCGAGGGGAATTATGATTGCTTTGTTATATTCATTAGTTTGTTATACCCCATTTTGTTATAACGAGGTTTTACTGTAGAATTTGTGCGTATCTACACATCAATTCATGTTTTCCTGCTGTATTTAGTGGGAACCGTTTCCCCGCTTAATATAGCAGGAAAACGTGAATTGTTCGGCCAATGATGGACGGATGCACATGATATCATGTCCTATTTGAAACGACGTGTAGTCTGGTCGTGCCAGCTGATATGCCTTTGGTTCGCGTAGTGAGCAGTCGTGTTTATTTGTGCTTGCAGGTGTTCGCCTTCATCTGCGGCCTGATCGTGATCCTGCTGATGATCCTGTGCCTGGCCTCGTCCAACTGGCTGGTGGCGCACAAGTTCCGGCAGGGGCTCTGGGAGCAGTGCGTCGAGGAGGACGCACCACTCCCGCTCCCCTTCGGTCTCAACGTCAAGCCCGGCTGCTACGTGGCACGCACTGTCGGTGAGCCCCTTTATTTTTATTTTTATTCTTCTTTTTGAGTGTTGCAATGCGCGTCGGCTTCTTGTATTTGGTGCCTCTCCGGTAATTCTGTCCCGAACCCATATGAGAGCCAAGTTTGGCTGAACACATCAGAGAGGGTGCTACTAACCAACCACTGTTTGCGTCTGAGGGCACTGCAGGTACTACAATTACAACGCCTGCCATTGGCCACCCTCAGGGGGCATTAATATTTTAACACCTACCATGGGCTACGTTAGGTAGTGCGGAGATTTCAATGCGTACCATTGGCTACATCTTATGGAGTACAAAGATTGCAGTGCCCCAGGCTATGCCCCAGGCTTGGACATGAATGCTCCCCCCAAAATGTAATCGCCTAATTTTCCCCCTTCCCCTAAAAAAAGAAAAAAAAAAAGGACGTAATTCCATTGTTGGCGGCGAGATGTTTTTTTGTTTTGTTTTTTATCTTTGATGGCCTTTCCTTCTCGATTGACTCTGGGATGCACGTTAAAGACCCCAGGATAGCAGTAATATAGCTTAAACACCAGTGTCGCCGCCATATCTCTAGGTAAACTGACCTGGGGGAAGGGAAGACCGATTGATGGCTGAGGTGTTGAATCATGACCGCGGTCATCAAAAAATGCGGGTCTCAATAGGGAGAACTGGCAGTGCACGTATTTAGCACGCTGTTGTTCTCCGGCGGCAGAGAGCAAAATTTGAAGAATTACAGCCAAAGCTAAAGGAGAAAGAGTGTATGCCAGCCTGTTCAAGAGGAGGGAAAGGAGGAATGGGAGAAATGGGCTTGCATCTTCCGTTCCTTCATTCCCTCCTCTTGAACATACACTCGCTCTCCTGTAGCTTTGGCTGTACTGCACGGTTTTAATGAGAAGGTGAAACGCTCATGTGGCTTGCCTTTCCGCTTGTAGTTGACCGCGCCTGGGACAGAAGTGACGTCACATTTTTCGCTCGCGCAGACTCGGGACTCTCTGGAGCAATTTTCACTTTTCGATGAACTGCAGCAGACGGTATGAGCCACCGCAGCCAATCCATACCTCGGAAGGGGTGTCAGGTGGCTTTCGGGTTGGGCGGAGCGGCACGCTGAGCGTGAAGTCACGCGTCAGGTGTCATGCGTCGCACGTCACGCGTGTGGTACATTGTAAGTTGAAGCGAAGTATATTGTGTGCTGTATTTAGTCCAGAATATATATATATACTATTAAAAAAAAACGCAACATTTTGATCCTGCAGTGAAGCCAATAAAAAAGCCTATTCAGAATACATTTGGAGCTACAAAGTTAAAACAAAAGCAAGATCCTGTTGTGTGTAACTATTAGCATCGGGTTTATTTATTTTATTAGGTCGTTTAACAGTGAATTTCATTTTTTTTTCTTATGCACTTTATGCTACTGTAAAATCCCGAGAGATAGCCCACTTAACATCAATAGAAAATCGGGTGAAAATATCGAGTGGGCCAACTTTCAACGTACAATCAAGGAAAATTTTAAAAAAAATGCTATTTTTATGTTGTGTCCTTTCCCAGCTTGTTATGGTGGCAAAGGGCAACGAAGTATGATTGCACTTCCCAGTCAGTAACGTTCACTTATATCCCGCGATAGCGAACTAGCCGCAGGCCATCATTGATCCCAACACTACTGTTACTAGAAGTGGGGTATCTTTCTGTGTTTAAAAATATAGCAAATCAAGCCAATAATAGGGGTGGGCTATCTGTTGGCGGTGGGGCATCTCTCAAGATTTTACAGTTTTTTGTTTTTTTTTTTAATTTTGTTTTCACTATATAAAATGTTTGACCAATTTTGATAATAAGTGAAGTCCCTAATTTAGGCCAGACCTACTGAAATTAGTTTATAATATGTCAACCGGTTTACTAATTATCATGTCATAATCATACTCTGATGTTCATCACATCCAAGCTCCCACAGCATTTTTCGCGACTCCAACTAACTATAGGTGGCGCCACTCATTTTCCAAGATGGCGGGTTTACTGAGGGTCAGAGATACGTGCCGCTGTTGAGCCTGTCTAGTGTGGAGGCTTCACTGAGCGACATAAATTATTTCTGGTAATACGAGGAAGCTAATGTTTTATGAGCGCAGGTCACCTCTTTAACCTGAAAACAAGAACGGTGTTTAACGTATTAATTACGGAAGGATGCGCATTTTAATTCTGGAGCGAAACTGAAACTTACCTCTATTTTGGTATTAATTTCTCGATAGAGGTCTTAATTTCGAATTCTTTCATGACTCAAGATGTGTCTCACATCGTAATTATTTACTTAGAAAAGTTGTTCACGGAAACTTTATTTTGTGACATACCGTTCGATCCAGGCTGATATTTGTAGTTGTTGAAAAAATCAGTGCTGATATCTGTGCGTTCTTGCTGCCTTTTTCTCGCTCAGATAATTGTCATGGGAAATAATGACAATTATCCCAGCACAAGAATAACAGAATAATTCCAATTTTTGCAATATGTTCACGAAACGCATAAACTAATAAACGCTGCACTCACTGCAACAACCAAAGACGGAATCCGAGTCAGACAACTGACTCAGATTCCTGACAACTGACAACTATGTCAGAGTTTTTCATATGCTAAAAATAAAACAGAATTATACCTTTCTGGAAAGACTATTATGGTTAAATAGAGTATTCTCGTGATCTTGACGTTAATTAGATTGTATTAATAATAATATTATTAAAATTCACATATTTGAATAAGTAATTCTTTAAGCTCTAATATAATTTGTTGCTAATGATCTAATTTTAAATGTGCAAAGAAATATGACAATGAAAACTGTGCTAATTATCATCACTGGTTCCAATTGCTGCATTTTAATTACAAATAAAATAAAAATAGTCTAAAATCAATGAAAACATTCCGGCTAATGTGAGAAATCCATGCAAAATCACATTAATTGTGGGTAAAGTATATTATGTTATCAAAGTCGTGACTTTTGACAATCGGCGAAACGTCCAAAGTCGCCGCCAATATACTTCCAGACTAAATGTCCAAAAGTTAAAAAAAAAATATTTTTTTTTAATACTAGTTTTTTCATAACATTTATTTACTTTTGTATTTGCTCGCTGTTGTTTTGCCCATCTCAGCCTTTTCAGTTCGAAGGAACGCCTACCTGCTTGCACGTCTGCTCACTGCAGCACGTTGCGTTGGCGTTGGAAGCCGGTGAAACAGTAGAGAGTTTTAATATTGCGTATACGAGCGAACTCAAGCCCTGTGTGTTTGTGTTAGCTTTGCGCGTTCCACACTGCGCGTGCGCGGAGCCCGAAAGTGCGGTTTGGATGGCGCATGGCGACGAGGCGCACGCACAACGTGGGACACGCAACTCTAACGCAAATGCACACCGCTTGCGTTTGCTTCTATGCGCAATACTAAAACTTCCAGTAAGGTACAATCCCATACCGGCTGCAGCACGACGTTAGGACAGTGGAGAGTGTTGTTTGCATTCGGAAACGACATTTCGCGAGCCATGATCGCGAGCAGTTCCGCCATGCCCGCTGAACAGGAGAATCGGGGGACCCTCACTAGAGCGCTTCCCGTTTCCGCGGCGGGAGGGTGAGCGTACAGCTGGAGACGCGAATACCAGAAAAATATTTCTTAATTTCAAAAGCACTTTTTTAGATATGGTTTTTATCTAAAAAAAAACTTCTTGAACCTCGCTAACACCCAACAGTAATGAGTGCATTTTCAAAACTGTTATACTGAAAATACATAGCAGGTTTTGAAAAAAACTTGCCGTATTTAGGTGATGTTTATCTTCAAGATAAGAGGTAAAATATTTTATAACAAAAAGAATCAATGATACTTCACCTTTGACGACTGGTCCTAGCAGACGAAAAGAGTCTCGACAGAACATTTACTGCCACCTGCAGCGTAAGACAGAACTAGGAGAAATCGGGCTTTGGTTTGTGCTTGTCACATTAATATCTCTCATGAAAAGATTGTATGTTTCAAAAGTGTGCACAGTACAATGCACGATAGCACTGTTAACTTCTATGTGGTGCCATTGAAATTTTTGTTGAAATTAAGGTGCAGCCAAGGGCATTAGTTTCCTGTGTTTCATCTGGTGTGTGACAATTCGTTGTTTAGGTTCCCCTTTCCATGTCATGCTAGGTTTGTGTATCTTCTCCCATGCTGCAGAATCCTGGCGTCGTACCTGGTATCTATCTCAGTGATGGAAGTGCTGGGCCATTTGTGCCAAATTGCACCATGAACAAAAGTCTGCTACATTTTGCGCCAAAATGCCATTTTCGCTAAGAATTGCGCCTCGCCGCGCCAAGATGGACTCAGACAAAATAAAAGATACAAATATTTTATTATTGGTCAATTTTAATATTCAGACAAGTAGAAGAAAAGGAAAACGAGACAAATAGGTATTTCACAGTGTCTCTACTTACCGTACAGTCTGTTTTATCTTAGGTCAAAGCAGTCAAAGGCTCACACATACAGCCACAAACATACATAAGAGTGGAAGTCATGGGGCATCCATTGCGCTTCATTTATTTAACTGATAAAATAACACATACCGTATTTTCCGGTGTGTAAGTCGCGGCTTTTTTTTTCCAATTTTTTTCTTGGTGCATCTTATACAACAATGCAACTTATTCTTTTTTTTGTAATTCACGGTGCAACGCCATTTATTTTATGCGCCGCGGGCCATCTTTCGTAGAGCACCGTAGCTATGTAGCCGTAGGTGGTGTTTCCCCTCCAGGGACGCTGCTGTCGCCTCACTCTTCTACACTTTTCATAACTGACTCGGAAAACGAGAGAAAATTTATGGTTTCCCCGAATCGGCTCAATGTGGATAGGCAAGATTGTGAGAATAAACCTTTTACAGCATGTCATCAACGTTGCCTAATTTAGCCATGGTTCTCCCGTCACTGTCTGAATTTCCAGACGATGTCGGCAATGTCAGAACCTAAAAGTCGCATGAAAATGTTTGCGAAATAGTGGGATGGTGGCTACTGTGATAG